TGCACCAAGGACCCTATATATTCTTTGATTTGCATGAAATTTGGCATAACGTACTGAATTGAGTCTAGAATGATGTGTGCTAAGTTTCGTGAAGATCCCTTCAGATTTAGATATAGCTCCCATATATTTTCGTCCGATCAAAGGTAAATCGTGCACCAAACTCCTAATGTTTGTCGGATTAACACGAAATTTTGCACAACGTATGAAAGTGAGACTTGAATGACGTTATTGGGTTTTGTTGAATCAATTTTGCTTTAAATCGTTTTCCATAAATTTGTCCCATGGTACGCAGACGACTTTAAATCTGCCCGAATGAAATTAAATTTATCATAGGCATGAGTATGTTCCTTCGAAGGAACTTTGACATATAATTGTAAGGATACATATGTACAATATACCCAAGTGGTGAAGGGTATCATATATAGTCGGCCCATTCCGACTTTACTACTTTTCTTACTGTTTTTTTTTTTTTTTGGGAGAAATACATTTGCCTTTGTCCAAAAATGAGACAGAGGAAACATTTATTTGGGAACCTAGTGGTTTTCTCATGGTTATAATAACTTTTACTTGTATTCAAAGCGTACAATATGGAAAAAACATTAAATATGAATGAAATTATGGAAAAAGTGTTTTCTGTGTACCCTCCGCTGCTTGAGACCTTAATATATGACGGGTTGACATTGTGAGTTTTTTTGGTAAGGAGATTTTACACCAAATGCTAATTCAAAATACTTAATTGTATCCAATTTGGTTGAAAAACTTGTCCAAAGTATAACTACCACAGTGAATCCATGAATCCTTCAAAATATAATACTTCAAAATTTCACAATACTTCTTTTTTTCAAACTTCGAATTTTTTACTAATTTCTGTACAAATCTGTTAAATAGTGTTCGCTACCAGCCATCATTAATAAAACTACACAGTTTATGTATTTCTGGTTTAATTTTTCATAATAATACCTTTTCAAATGCGGTTGTCAACCTGTCTGTCTTGCCTGTTAACTGTTCACAGTTTAAAACGTCATATTCGCTCATTTGTCATTGATTGACTAGTCGGAATCGCTAGACAGGCGAGCGTTTATTAATGATAAAAGAAAACAAAAGAAATAACAACAACGAAAAATGGGAAGAGTAAACAAATTCGAAAAAATAGTATTAGAATTTGTGCGGATTCAACTGCAGGTGAGGCAATGAGAAAAAAATACACCTAAGAGTAATTGTTGTGGTTGTGCCGAGGTAGTTGATTTTTTTTATCGGATATCTTGTATTGGCATGTCATTTGTATAACAATGATTTAATTGTCAAATTCCGAACCCATTTAATAGATGTTAATGAACGATATTTTCTATTAATTATCCCAGTTTCTTTTTATTGAATTCAAATACGCACACACGCACTTCGAAAATAGATTTTAGTCTATCGAATTGTTATTGTATTTTTTTTTGTTTAATTTTTCTATTTAATGATCATTGACAGATATTGCATTGCTATTTTGTTTTATGTTTTTTTTTTCTCTGATAACTTTGATAAATAGTTCCATGTTGGTTCCATGTCCAATAAATTAACATTATGTTAATTAAGCGGAATCAAACAATTCGTAGAGAACACCACCGAACACCGTTTATTAATTGCCGGTCATTCTCACATAATTGCAATTTTGATCTTTAATCATTGTAGCCGCCAGTCTGTCAGTCAGACAGGGTACACGCCCATTCCGTAGCATGTTCTATGTCTCGAGCTCGAAGATAATATTCATTGGAACACTCCTGCTCCCCCACAAAGGGTCAATATTCTATAAACATGTACATTTAATTTAAGCGATTTGAATAACCGATTTGATCAACCATAAATCCGAAACCTCTTTGATAAAAACATCGCAAGACCTCCACAAATCATAGGTTATGTATCTGTCGGAAATACCGGCTGACACTTTTCTACTTGTTATACATCATCGGAATGGTAAATTATAGCAACATTGATGAGAACATTCGGTTATAAACCCAATAATACCAAAAATTAAGGCTATATAAACCAGTAAGCGGAGCAGTATAGTCGGACGGGCCGACCATATGATACCCTACACAACTTGCACAAAAATCTAACTTTCTGGAAATAGCATGGAAAATATTTAGCTATTTTTGCATCCTCTTGACCGACCAAATATTACTAATATTCCGTACAGCCCACTTGTCCAGATTCCCTTTACCGTGGATTGTGTTGTGATGTTCGGCTTTCAATTGTGGCCTATAGATCGACTCGAAAAAAACACATAAAATATGTTTTCGGTCCACATTATCCCAAAATTATTATCAGATCATCAATTATAAGCGTTGTCCTTGACCATAACTGGAACCTCATGGAACATTTCAAAGCGATCAGCGTTATATTTCCGTAATTTAGTCTGGTAATGGTTTATTAAATAATATGTGAATACGTAAGCACCTGTAAAAATGTACGTGTAACTCCCACATCCGAGTATACGGCAATGTAATTGGTATCAATTTAAAGGTCAACCACTCCTCTTGGATATACTATCAACTTCTTGGTTCTATATTCTTCAGGGGTAAATATATACACTATAGAATACAAATTTTATAATTGTTCACACAAAAGTCAGGGTCAATTTGACCGATCTTTATCAAAACAGGCATACTTATTCTTTGGCCCGATTCCCTTCTCCATGCTAAAATTCGTGATGGTTAGACCATAATTGTGGACTCTGGAGCGACCAGAAAAACCGACAAAAATTTAGTATTAGTTTAGTATTTGGTCCATTTCTTCCCCTAAATATTAACCGATCTTTACCAAAAACAATAGGGGTCTTCATTGGCCTACATGCAAAATTTCGTGAAGATTGGTCCATAACTGTGGCCTGTATCGTGTTTACAAATTATAATGGACAGACGGACGGACACACATGTCTAGGGTGTAGGGTATAAACATGGACCTAAGGGAAGGTGTCAAAAGTTATTTTGGATAATCGTCAAACCACTCTTCGGTTAATGTGAAACAAATTTTACGGAAGTCTTGGACATGAAATGTTTGACAGGGAAGATTGTTCCAAAATGGCAAACTTTTAAGTTAAAACAACGACGATGGACATCGCTTAGGAAATGTTGAAAATCGCCAACGACGATGGCGATTACAATTAGGTCATAACTGCTGACGTATTGTGGATGTATGGCTTTGACTTCTAAGCTTAAACGTTCGTTCAAAACGTTAAAGTTTGAAGCATTTTTCTATGATTGAGTAGATAAAAGAAAAATCGAAATACGAACTATGTTTCGTCCAAATCGGAAGATATACGAGAACTTTGGCACACTATTTACATTAAATCGGACGAAAATATATGGGAGCTATATATAAATCTGAACCGATTTTCATGAAACTGTACACACATAATTCTAGATTTAAGTCAGTACGCTATACTAATTTTCGTGTCAATCGAAAGATATATATTGGGACTTTGGGGCACCATTTACCTTAAATCGGACGAATATATATATGGGAGCAATATCTAAATCTGAACCGATTTTTCCCAATTTCAATAGGGTTCGTCCTTAGGCCAAATAAGTGATGTATGCTAAATTTCATCCAATTCGGATCACAAATGCCACCTGTACTTTGTTTACAATTTAAGACGGACGGAATTGCATAAATCGACTTAGAAAGTGATTCTATGACGGACGGAATTGCATAAATCGACTTAGAAAGTGATTCTATGCATATTCTCAAAAGGAACCATGTGTCTATCTCGTTTCCTTTTGTCTGTTACAAACATATGCACAAAGACATAATGCCCTGTACCACAATGTGGTGAAGGGTATAAATATTTGATTCGTTTTATTCATTATACCCTACACAACTATGTTGTCAGGGTATTATAGCTTTGTGCAGCCCCAAGAAATATTGGTCCTAGACCCACCTTTAAGCATACCGATCGTCATATCTCGACTAGCTGAGTCGATCTAGACATGTGTGTCCGTCCGTCCGTCTGTACATTATATTTTGAAAACACGATACAGGCCACAGTTATGGACCCCTATTGTTTTTGGTAAAGATAGGTTAATATCTAGGGGATGAAATGGACCAAATACTTAATTTTTATCGGTTTTCTGGTCGCTTTAGAGACCGCAATTATGACCCAAACATCGCGAATTTTTACATAGAGAAGGGGATCGGGCCAAAGAATAAGCATGTCTGTTTTGATAAGGATCGGTCAATATTTAGCGGTTCAAATGGACCCTGACTTTTGTGTGAAAAATTACAAAATTTGTATTCTATAGCGTATAGATTTACCCCTGAAGGACATAGACCCGAAAAGTTGTTGGTATATCCAAGGGCAGTGGTTGGCCTTTAAATTGATACCAATTATATGGTCGTATGTACTCAGATGTGGGAGTTACACTTAAACATTTACAGATTATTCAGTATTCAGATATTATTTAGTAACCCTTTACCACACTAGAGAGCGGAAATATAGCGCTGATCGCTTTAAAATGTTCCATGAAGTTCCAGTTATGGTCAAGGATAACACCTACAATTATCGTTGACGATCAGATAATTATATTGTGATGAAGTGGACCGAAAACATAATTTTTTTGTGTTTTTTTCGAGTTGATCTATAGCCTCCAATGAGAATAAGAATATCACAACACAAGGGAAGGGAATCTGGACAAGTAATTAGAAGAGCTGTACTGAACATTAGTAATAATTGTCGGCCTCTAGTTGGTTCAGATGGTTCAAATATCGCGATATATTGCCCAAGCTCAGAATATAGATCCACAGAAAGTTTGTTTTTCGTGGAAGTTGTGTAAGGTATCATATGGTCGGCCCCGTCCGACTATACTGCTCCGCTCACTGGTTCCTACTACAGAAAATCAATTTTAAGAAAAAAAGTCATAACCCTATTTTATATACACATCTTTAGACATAAGGCTGTGCCTATAAAATATTTAAAGCAATACAATTATATTCTAATTTATTTCCAATTTACTTACCCAAACAATTGGTCAAATCCATAGCACCAGCATAGAGGCAACCATTTTTACGTTTTATGACATTTGTCAGTTTGTCGACACAAAAACATTCGTTGTCATGTTCCGGGCCGATGTCATTGACGAAATTCTCTCCGATTGAATAACGATAACCGGGAATGCCTTTATACTGGATCTCCTTCTGATAGAAAAGTTGCACGGAACGACAAATATCCGAACTGAAAATATACATGGAATCACCACGCTGACGGAACGGCGGATATGATGAGGCATCGGTTCCGTTGATTTGATTGCATGTCGATGTTTCACTTTCGGTGGCATTGAGCCAAACTTGTAAATGATGATTGTCGTCGAGTTTTTGTATTTCCAAAACTCTCATGGGATCATCTTTGCCGGTGTGGACCTCATATACCTCACGACCAGTTCCATTTTTCTGAAAAAAATATTAATATTATTAAGGTTTTTTCCAAATAAATCATTTGACTTACATGATTGAAGAATGAAAACGCCAAACTACCATCCTTGAGTTCTCGTATTGTCTTCGAGCCGCCATCTTTAATTTGATTGCATATGGCCTTGGCTAAACCTTGGGGATTTATACAGAAACGTACACCATCGAAGAGATACTCCTTGACTGTGGTGCGAACAAACATTGATTTCGGATCATTAAATATTGCCTTTATATTGGCATTCAGATGGACCAACAATATTGCCAAACCTGGATCATTTTCACCGATTTGTAAAACCGACTAATGTCAAAAAACAGATTGGGAATGAAAATAATGACAGGTTTTGAATTTATTAATAATTGTTGCTGTTGTTGTATTTTCTTATTTTCTATTAAAAAGCTTTTTATTTTACAAGCATTCATAAGCATTTGTTTTAATTCTAAGATAATGTTTTTTTTTCATTTTTTTTTTAATTTTATAGCATGCAATTTCCAATATCAATTTTTAACCAATTCACCGATTTTGTTTAAGCCATGCCAACGAGAGAACTTATCGCATCTACCCAAAAGCCAACTTACTTTAACACTATCAACCATATTGCTGATGATATTTTGTACCCAATTAAAGGGTTCTAGATATATAAAGGAATATTTATATAACAAAAATTATAGACATTAGTTTTTGACGTTAAATAAATTAGAAAAATGATTAAAAACAGGTGTAGTCGATAATTATCTGGGGTTAACTTTTATATCTCCCGTCATACGATGGAGGGTTAATTAATTAAGTCTTTAATTAAATTTGTAATATCTCGGAGATCCTGGCCTACAAAAGTATTTTTTCAAAAAAATGTAAAATGTACCTTTTTCATTATTACAGCCAGTGTAGTTTTTCATATGAAAAACTATATATGATAGACATAGAACCTCGGGTTTGGTTCAGATTTTCCCATATTCAAAATATTCAGGAGTAATCCCGCAAATCAGCGTAAATTCTTCAAACAAGTAACATTTAGATATAAAAAAGTTTTGTTTAAATAATGTATTAAAATAGCTAAGGTCATCAATAAACCAATAAGGAAAGAAATAAGGTCGGAAGGGGCCGACTATATGATACCCTTCACCACTTTGGGTATATTCAACAGATGAATTTTGACAGACGTCGCATTCTTAGAGGACCAGTAAAATGAAATTGAAATTGGAGATTAGATATAGCTCCCATTTTCAAAAAACCTAACACACATCATTCTAGACCTAATTCTGTACGCTGAATTAAGGGAGTTTGGTACACCATTTACATTAAATCTGACGAAAATATTTATCGGAGCTATATCTAAACCTGAACCGATTTTCACGAAACTTAACACACATCATTGTAGGCTTTATTCAGTACTCTGTACCAAATTTCGTTGAAAATGAAAGATATATGGGGACTTTGGTACACAATTTTCCTTAAATCGGACGAAAATATATATATGGGAGCTAAATCTAAATCCAAACCGATTTTCAGGAAACTTAACACACATCATTCTAGACCTAATTCATTACGCGGTTCCAAATTTCGTGCACATCAAAATATATTTGGGGACTTTGGTGCACCATTTACATAAAATCGGACGAAAATATATATGGGAGCTATATATAAATCTGAACCGATTTTCAGGAAATTAACACACATCATTCTATACCTAATTCACTACGCTGTGCCAAATTTCGTGCAAATCGAAATATATTTAGGTACTTTGGTGCACCATTTACCTTAAATCGGACGAAAATATATATGGGAGCTATATCTAAATCTGAACCGATTTTTCCCAATTTCAATAGGGTTCGTCCTTGGGCCAAATAAGTGACGTACGCCAAATTTCATCCAATTCGGATAATAAATGTGACCTGTACTTTGTTTACAATTTAACATGGACAGACAGACAGACAGACGGACGAACGGACATGCATAAATCGACTTAAAAAGTGATTCTATGGATATTCTCCAAAGGAACCATGTGTCTATCTCGTTTCCTTTTGCCTGTTACAAACATATGCACATAGACATAATACCCTGTACCACAGTGTGGTGAAGGTATAAAAACAAAGGACGTGATGTATTGTCTTCCCTGAATTACAACATGGTCAGCAATGTCATATTTTCCCCACTAACAAATCTTTAATTTATAAAAAATGTTAAACTGGAATTACGCATGACATTTTGAATATGGCAAAACACGAATGATATCCCAAAAAACTATACCCTGCTATATCTTCCATATATATTTTCGCCCGATTTCTAAAAAATGGTACTCTATAATGGTATTTTATAAGAACCAAATATTATTTTCAGCAATTTTTAATGGAGAGTTTTCATAAAAACCCAAATATTGGACCGATATTGACGACGCATAGATGTTCCACCCCAAAACACAGGTTTTATTTTAGAAGTGGAAGCTGCTGGTTCAATATGATGCGCACAATATTGATTACATCGTGTAGGAATTACCGAATATTTGTAGTTATCATTATATGAGGTGCTATGCCTAATTGAGGACTAATATAGCTCAATTTCGAATAAAATAATTTTGGCATCACAACACCATCCTTTACGCCATTAAGGATACAGTGTATACTAAACTTATCATTCCGATTGCATCATCTGGAAATTACCATCGAAGACCCCATCAAATATATATATTGTTGACCAGAAAAAAATCCTATGCCGCATGTAGAAATCACGATAGGTATCGCAATAATTAAGAGAGAACTGAAATTTTGCACAGACATTGCTGTTCTAGGCTGTTTGCTATTTCAAATGGGGTATATCAGTCCAGGTTTTGGTATATCCCCCTATAATGGTACCCCCAACATTCGTGTAGGCCTTATATAACGACAACCTACAATATTGGATATATGGTTATTTCTTATTTGGTATTTTGCATTCTCAATATATACCCGATCTCTCTACTAAAGGCTACATTTTAGATTCTGTTTGAGCGCCTAATCTCACAAAAAATTATATTAGGTAAAATTATGTCACGATCTAAGCATGCTCGTCTGTCCATCTGTCTGTTTTAATCACTTTACCCTCTAAACGAATTGAGATAAATCGTCAATTTTTTTCATTTAGGCATAGCTAGCATAATGGTACCCCCAATTTTCGGTATTTTGGGGTTCTTGATTATATTATTATAAATATATGTCCATATTTCCTGTTATCCCCCAAATAACTGTCTCCCCAAATTTTCGGTATTTTAGGGTTCTTTAGTCGATTTGCGCAAAGTTTTACACAATGTACTGAAGTTAGTATAGCCTAACGTGTGCCAAGTTTCAATGAAATCGGTTCTGATTTAGGGATAGCTCCCATGTATATTTTCGTCCGATTTTTAGTGGATGGTGGCCCAGAGAGTTAGATTTAGGCCGATTGCCAAAAAATTGACAATGTCAATGGAATGAACAAAACTTTCGTGTCTATGGTCCTTCAAAAATTCGACGTCTGTTAGGATGCATATCTTGAATACACTCAAAGTGGTAAAGGTAATGTTGTAATCATCGAAAACGAAGAAGACTAGAACTTAAAGTTCGAGAATGAACTATATCGGCCGCATTTAGGCCTAGCCCCCATATACTGATATCTATTGTGCGTATATGACAATTTTCATATTGACCCAGCAGCTTCCACCCCACCCCCGAAATAATACCTATGTACGTTGGTGATGGCCTCATATAACTGCGCCCTCTAAAGAGCGCAGTCGGTATAGGTTCACTTTTTATACCCTTCACCACATTGTGGTACAGGGTATTATGTCTTTGTGCATATGTTTGTACCAGGCAAAAGGAAACGAGATAGACACATGGTTCCTTTTGAGAATATGCATAATATCACTTTCTAAGTCGATTTATGCATGTCCGTCCGTCTGTATGTCTGTCCATGTTATATTGTAAACAAAGTACAGGTCGCATTTATGATCCGAATTGGATGAAATTTGGCATAGGTCCCTTATTTGGCCCAAGGAAGAACCCTATTGAAATTGGGAAAAATCGGTTTAGATTTAGATATAGCTCCCATATATATTTTCGTCCGATTTAAGGTAAATGGTGTACCAAAGTCCCTATATATCTTTCGATTTGCATGAAATTTGGCATAACGTACTGCCTAGTTTCGTGAAAATCGTCCGAGATTTGGATATAGCTCCAATATATAGTTTGGTCCGATTTAATGTAAATGGTGCACCAAAGTCCCGATAAATGTTTCGATTTGTACGAAATTTGGCATAACATAATGAATTGAGGCTAATATGATGTCTGGCAAGTTTCGTGAAAATCGGTTCAGATTTAAATATAGCACCCCTATATAGTTTCGTCCGATTTTGTGCAAATGGTGCATCAAAGTCCCTATATATCTTTCGATTTGCATGAAATTTGGCACAGCGTACTGAATTGAGCCTAGTGTGTTTTCTGCCAAGTTTCGTGAAAATCGGTCTAGATTTAGATATAGCTTCCATATATTTTCGTCCGATTTAAGGTAAATGGTGTCCCTTTCGATTTGCATGAAATTTGGCATAACTGAATTGAGATATAGCTCCCTTATATATTATCGATTGATTTTAAGTAATTGGAACTGATAGGAACAAAACGTACTAAAATTAGTATAACCTATCTTGTGACAAGTTTCGTTGAAATCGGTTCATATTTTGATATAGCTTCCATATATATATATATATATATATAGAAGTACATACATAGCCCAACGGCTATGTCATGTTAATAGTCCTGTTTAATATACCCATAGTGGTGAAGGGTATCATATAGTCGGCCCTGTCCGACTTTACTACTTTCCTTACTGGTTATGTATATGTTACTATAAGAATAACTAGGGGGGGGGGCGTGAGTATCCCCCCTAGTATCACTAGGAGGGGGATGGTTAAGTCTAAAAAGTTTGCCCCGACCTATCTTAACGCATTTTTCACTTGTTTTATATTTTTCAAACGTCACGTGTCAGCTTTGGTATGTTCAAGGTACTAGCTCAGTCTTAGTGTTTGTAGTTACGTTTTCCTTTGGTTTCTTCTGAAAGAAGGGTAAGGAAGGGTTTTGTCTGGTGAAGGGTATAAAAAGTTTATTCAACACAATTCCCTAAGGTCTATACATTTCTTTAAGCTAACTTCCAATATTTCGATGTCATTTTTATACCCTTTGCCTGAGCCCTAATAACATTTTAGACCACAAGTGTCTTCGGACCAAATCAATTTTAGACAGTTTGAATAACTGTCAGATGGGATAATTTTGTTTATTGACGTATCCATTAATGTGGAAATCGGCCTCACCAATCAAAAAATAATTTTTCGATTCCAGATCATTTTAATGCTGATATTCACTTAAGATTAGGCCATTCTATTGTATAAAATTGTCCATAAATTATGCAAGAAGAAATTACTATTAATACTATGCTTTCTAAATATCAATTTACGTAATATAACTTTAACCGTTTATTAATTTCTCATAATAGCAGTTTATATAATCGTCAAATTTGCATTTGTACGAAAAATACGCATCATTGAAGCGTTTTTGCAAAATTTGAAAAAACTGTTCAATGAAGCGAACAATGACTTTAAATATTTCCGAAATGTTTTAATTAAAAATAACAAACATATTGACATGTTATATTAATTGGCACTTTCTTAGCGAATACCATAAAGTCGATTATGCATACATACATATGTAATTATTAATGGGATTATAATTGAAATAAATAGACCGAATGCACGTATATGACCCGGGAAGTTTGTCAGTTTTTGTTTGAAGTCTGAAAATAAGTTCAATGACTTTTCAGTAACTTAAAGATAAGACTTCCTCGTATATAGAAGATGAAAATGAAATCTCTAAATATATTTATATATATATATATATATATATATATGAAATCTCTAAATCTATTTTAGAATAAGTATTTAAGCCACACAATTAACGGGAATATATGTTTGCACGGCACAATATATAACCAGTGAGCGGAGCAGTATAGTCGGACGGGGCCGACCATACGATACCCTACACAACTACCACGGAACTCAAATTTTCTGCCGATGTTTATTCCGAGCCTGGGCAATATTTCGTGATATTTGCACACTCTTTCCCGATTTGAGGTCAACAGCATCTCTTCCATACACTGACATATTTTCCGAATATTTCTAATATTCAGTACAACCCTTCTAATTACTTGTCCAGATTGCCTTCACCGTGGGTTGTGTAGTGATTTTCGAAAAATACCAAAAAAATTTAAGTTTACGGTCCACTTCATCCCAAAATTATTATTTGATCATCACCGAAAATTATAGGCGCTGTCCTTGACCATAACTGCAACTTCATGGGAATTTTCAAAGCGATCAGCGCTATATTTCCGCCCTCTAGTGTGGAAATGGGTTACTAAACGAATACGGAGATACCTGTAAATATTTAGGTGTAACTCCCACATCCGAGCACATACAACAATATAATTGGTATTAGTTTAAAGGTCAACCACTCCTCTTGGATATAATATCAACTTCTCGGGTCTATGTCCTTCAGGGGTAAATATATACACTATAGAATACAAATTTTGTAATTTTTCACACAAAAGTCAGGGTACATTTGACCCGCTAAATATTGACCGATCTTTATCAAAACCGGCATGCTTATTCTTTGGTCCGATCCCCTTCTTCATGTAAAATTTCACGATGTTTGGGCCATTATTGCGGCATCTGGAGCGACCAGAAAATCATACAAAAATAAAGTTATTGGTCCATTTCATCCCCTAAATATTAACCGATCTTTCCCAAAAACAATAGGGGTCTTCATTGGCCAGAACCCATCCTACATGCAAAATTTCGTGAAGATTGCTACATAACTGTGGCCTGTATCGTGTTTACAAATTATAATGGACAGACGGACGAAGGGACACACATGTCTAGATCGACTCAGCTAGTCGAGATATGACGATCGGTATACTTAAAGGTGGGTCTAGGACCAATATTTCGCGGCGTTACAAACTTTTGGGGCTGCACAAAGCTATAATACCCTGACAACATAGTTGTATAGGGTATAGTTATGGACGTATAATTATTGAAACCCTCAACCATATTAACCAATAACCTCTACAAAAAGTCCACTCCTTAAGTAACTGTCACCACTGTTATGATTTTTTGACAATATAACTGTCAAACTAAAATGGTTGTCAATATTACTTTACAGTATTGAACCTCGCCCATTTCACATAGTATAATTAAACCTGTTTAGTTATATCTCCAAGAAAATAGGTTAATAATAGAATGAAAACGATGTTAGTAAAGCGTAAAATAAATTTTAATACATGAAAGAAAGAAAAACGAAATGACCAGAAGAAACTAGAAAATAAATTTGTTGTTACAAACAAAATAAAATTAGAACAAAAAATATATAGCAATAGAATATGGAATATTGTTCAATTGTAAATATAACAAATTACTTTACGTTTCCCACGAATGCGATCCATTAAACGTTTTAAAACACGAACACCGGGCGTTCGATTTAGACGATGATTTAAACGATTTGCAAAACCCTGTAAAATGTCTGTGATTTCTCTTTCGAATACTTGTAAAAATGCCTAGAAAAATTTAACAAATTAAGTAAAAATATTTGAAATAGATTATTTGATGATGGCCTATTGATGGGATATAAAGGGAGAAAGAGAGAGAGAGTTATAGAGAGAATAATATTTTGTTTTAATATTAATCTAAGATCATAACGAACAGAATACAGTACTATTCCTATTAGACACAATCTTCTCTCTCTCTCTCTCCCTCTCCCTATTATCTTTCAATTTAAATATTTTTATACTACACTTTCCACTTACATTCATGTGCATATTCAGGGCCACGATATGATCACTTTCCTTGTAGGGGGCTGAAGCTTCTTCATCGAACACGTATAATTGATCTTGGGTAAATGTTATCTTGGAACCATCTCTCGAGAAGTGTTTAACACGCTTCCGACGATATTGTCTTCATGTAAACAAATAGTAATATTAGTAATATCAATTTTTTTTTTAAATAGGCAAATGAGTACTCACTTGTAAACATAGGGTCCAACTTCTTTAACAATTGGTATGGCGCCTTGCTGTACCCTCATCGGATTGGTGACATTAAAAATGTAAACTTTAAATGTCAATGGCTGTGGCAATTGTATAAAACGTTTATATTGTTCCGAACCGTCCGTAATGATTACACTCTGCAAAAGAGGAAATAATAATATAATTCATTAGTCTCTGTGTAATAGTAAATAAAATAAGTATTTAAAAACAATATAGAATGAAAAAAAAAAACATAAATGAATCATTACACTATAGTCCAACCAGTAAGGAACGTAGTAAAGTCGGACGGGGCCGACTATATGATACTCTCAACACATTGGGTATATTGAACAGATGAATCCTAACAGACGTTGAAGGACCATAAACACGAAAATGGATCCATAAACATGTCATTCTGCAACCTATAACTTTGGGTCTTTAGTGCACAATTTACATACACTCGGAAGAAAAAAATATATAGGAGCTATATCTAAATCTGAACCGATTTTCACGACACCTAACACACTTCATTCTAGACCTAATTTATTACGCTATACCAAATTTCGTGCAAATCGAAAGATATATAGGGACTTTGGTACATCATTCACATGAAATCGGACGAAATTATATATGGGAGCTATATCTTAATCTGGACCGATTTTCAGGAAACTTAACACACATCATTCTAGACCCTATTCAATATACTATACCAAATTTCGTACAAATCGAAAGACATATAGGGTATTGGTGGACCATTTACATTAAATCGGACGAAAATATATATTGGAGGTATATCTAAATCTGGACCGATTTTCAGAAAACATAACATACATCATACTAGACCTAATTCATTAGGCTGTGCCAAATTTCGTGCAAATCGAAAGATATATAGGGTATTTGGTGGACCATTTACATTAAATCGGACAAAAATATATATGGGAGGTATATCTAAATCTTGACCGATTTTCAGGAAACTTAACACACATCATTCTCGACCTAATTTATTATGCTATGCAAAATTTCGTGCAAATCGAAAGATATATGGGGACATTGGCACACCATTTGCATTAAATCGGACGAAAATATATATGGGAGCTATATCTAACTTAACACACATCTTTCTAGACCTAATTCAGTACGCTGTGCCAAATTTCGTGCAAATCGAAAGATGTATAGGGACTTTGGTACACCATTTACATTAAATCGGACGAAAATATATATGGGAGCTATATCTAAATATGGACCGATTTTCATGAAACTTAACACACATCATTCAGTACTCTATGCCAAATTTCGTGCAAATCGAAACATATATAGGGACTTTGGTGCCCCATTTACCTTAAATCGGACGAAAATATATATGGGAGCTATATCTAGATCTGAACCGATTTTTCCCAATTTCAATAGGGTTCGTCCTTGGGCCAAATAAGTGAGCTGTGCCAAATTTCATTCAAATCGGATAATAAATGCGACCTGTACTTTGTTTACAATTTAACATGGACAGACAGACAGACGGACGGACATGCATAAATCGACTTAAAAAGTGATTCTATGGATATTCTCCAAAGGAACCATGTGTCTATCTCGTTTCCTTTTGCCTGTTACAAACATATGCACAAAGACATAATACCCTGTACCACAGTGTGGTGAAGGGTATAAAAATCTCATAATTAAAGCAGTTGGTTTATGAAATATTTGATGATTACGATTCTGCAGGAATCGTTTATATATTATGGATATAAAACTATGGCTAAATACAGGTCATTTGTTTAAAAATCCCCAAACCGCTATACAGCATCCACTACATATTTATTTCGGTGATATGCAACGGATGCGGATAATGGGTTCATTTCTGGACTTCACGAGGAAAAATCAACGTGATCGTGGATTTTATGAGTCGAAGAAGCATTATGATCGCGGCGATCCTGGAAACGAAGCTAAGCAACACCTGCAGCCTTCAAAGATGTGTACGGATACAACGTTAAAATGGAAGGGTCGTAAGAGAGGTGGTGAGGATGGTGATATCTCCCGAACTGTTTAACCTCTACCGTTCTGGTATTTCACGACCACCGGACGGCACAAAGATCGTAACATACGCGGATGATTGTACGATCATGGCATCAGGACCCAAAATTGATGACATTTGCGAGAGGCTGAAACACTATCTCGGAAATATCCGCCACTAAATCAACGGCCGCACTGTATACCACATGGACAGCGGAGATGCGGCTACCTTTGAATGTGCAGGTCGATTGGTTCAAAATTCCGACCATCAACTACCCCAAGATTTTAGGGGCTCGCATTTCATAGCCTATATAAGTCGTCCGCGCATTTCACAGCTATTTGCGATATGATCAGGAGCAGAAACAAGGTTCTCAAGTCGCTAGCCGGCAGCACTTGGGGAGCTGACAAAGAAACCTTGTTAACGACATACACAGTAATAGGCCGGTCTGTGCTAAACTATGCAACGCAGTGGAAAAGTCTTCAACCCTGCCAGAATGCCGCCCTAAGGTCTGCAACAGAATGTGTTCTCATGACTCCAATAGACCAATTACATGAGGAGGCGTAGATCCTTTCTTTGCATCACCCACCCACATAGGCATGTCAGGAAGCATATTCATGATCTGAAGACAGATGTCCAAAGGTACAAAAGGGAACCTCTAGATCAACAGGCCTATCAAGCAGGATTGAGTTGTATTCACACGGATGCAATTTGAGAATATCGTGTGTATACGATCCTCGGTAATCACCATCCTGCGATAGCTGCAGAAGAGCAGCAGCTACTTCGACAAACCAGAGAGGTTTGAGCACAATTGAGATCTGGATGGTGTAGCCGTCTAAATTCTTATTGGGCATAACCAATACAGGTCGCAGCATTTTTATACCCTTCACCACACTGTGGTACAGGGTATTATGTCTTTGTGCATATGTTTGTAACAGGCAAAAGGAAACGAGATAGACACATGGTTCCTTTTGAGAATATGCATAGAATCACTTTCTAAGTCGATTTATGCATGTCCGTCCGTCCGTCCGTCTGTCTGTCTGTCCATGTATTTTTGTGAGCAAAGTACAGGTCGCATTTATGATCCGAATTGGATGAAATTTGGCACAGCTCATTTGTTTGGCCCAAGGACGAACCCTATTGAAATTGGGAAAAATCGGTTCAGATTTAGATATAGCTCCCATATATATATTTAACCGATTTAATGTAAACGGTCCCTATATATCTTTCGATTTGCACGAAATTTGGTACAGCATAATGAATTAGGTTTAGAATGATGTCTGCCAAGTTTCGTGAAAATCGGTCAAGATTTAGATATAGCTCCCATATATAGTTTCGTCCGATTTCATGTAAATAGTGCCCCAAAGTCCCTATATATCTTTCGATTTGCACGAAATTTGGCATAACGTACTGAATTAAGACTCGAGTGGTGTCTGCCAAGTTTCGAGAATATCGGTCCAGATTTAGATATAGCTCCCATATATAGTTTCGTCCGATTTCATGTAAATGGTGCACCAAAGTCGCTATATATCTTTCGATTTGCACGAAATTTGGTACAGCCTAATCATTTAGGTCTAGAATGATGTCTGCCAAGTTTCGTGAAAATCGGTCCAGATTTAGATATAGCTCCCATATATAGTTTCGTCCGATTTCATGTAAATGGTGCACCAAAGTCGCTATATATCTTTCGATTTGCACGAAATTGGGCATAACGTACTGAATTGAGTCTAGAATGATGTCTACGAAGTTTCGAGAAAATCGGTCCAGATTTAGATATAGCTCCCATATATAGTTTCGTCCGATTTCATGTAAATGGTGCACCAAAGTCGCTATATATCTTTCGATTTGCACGAAATTGGGCATAACGTACTGAATTGAGTCTAGAGTGATGTCTGCCAAGTTTTGAGAAAATCGGTCCAGATTTAGATATAGCTCCCATATATAGTTTCGTCCGATTTTATGTAAATGGTGCGCCAAAGTCCCTATATATCCTTCGATTTGCACGAACTTTGGCATATCGTAATGAATTACGTCTAGAATGATGTGTGTTAAGTTTACTGAAAATCGGCCCAGATGTAGATATAGCTCCCATATATAATTTTGTCCGATTTAATGTAAATGTTGCACCAAAGTCCCTATATATATTTCGATTTGCACGAAATTTGGTATTGCGTAATGAATAAGGTCTAGAATTATGTGTGTTAAGTTTCGTGAAAATCGGTTCAGATTTAGATATAGCTCCTATATATTTTTTCTTCCGAGTGTGTGTAAATTGTGCACTAAAGACCCAAAGTTTGTCTGATTTCCACACAATTGGTACAATGAACTGTAGTTACTATAATACATTTCATTTACATTGCTTTATATAATTTTGTCCCATTGTAAGAAGCAACCCTATATCTGACCAAATGAAAACTTTAGTGTAGGTTACAGAATGACATGTTTATGGATCCATTTTCATGTTAATGGTCCTTCAAAAATTCGACGTCTGTTATGATTCATCTGTTGAATATACCCAAAGTGGTGAAGGGTATCATATAGTCGGCCCCGTCCGACTTTCCTTACTGGTTGAACTTGGAGTTAGAAGCAGAACCAGATAAAGAAGAAATACACAGCTCTAAAAGCTGCTACAACAGCAACTGATCAGGAATATATATGGTCTGTTCCCGTACTGCAAGAATCTACTATTTTTTACTACGATAACGAATTTTTCTTTATGAGATCGAAGAAAATAGTAAAATCTAGTAGATTCTTGCAGTACGAGAACAGGCCAATAGTGTATAGCAGTTTTAAATTTTTTTTTGTCGGAATGGAAAGGTACTTTCATGTACTTTATTTGTCTACTTCTATTCCCTGTTTTTCTAACAGAATTGTTTTTTACGGCAGATTTTATTAATCTATTTTGCCTAACGTGCGGCAAAAATATACTTTATTCTCTAAAGCCCTTAGAAGTCTTAGGAGAATTTCTATATTTAGAATTTGTATTTACAGTCATGTACGCTTATAACGAACACCGGTTATAACGAACTTTCTTTATAGCGAATACATTTCCTGGTCCGGAGATTTAAGACATATTTTTCATACAAATCTTTACTACGGATATAGCGAACTTTTTTTATAACGAACTATTTATTATTATTATTATTTAGTTCG